CAGATCAAGCATGTCAGGATGCACCACGATGGGATCAGAAGTGGAGTCGCCCACCAAGTGCCCTCCGTTAGCCGCCCTCTTCCGCCGGAGCTCCTCCTGCCGGGCATGCTCCTTATTACGGATGGACCAACGATGATCACCGTCCCTGAAACTCATAGCTTGAGGTTTTGAAATGTGAAATGGTGAGAAAGCACAAAGCTACCAAGAGCCCTTATATAGAGCCTCGAGAGAGCGACGACCGAGGCACAAATCACGGAGGGAATCATAACTGACATAACTGAGCCGGATTGGATGGGCAACGCGAATCTCTGTCAGAGATTAATCCCATCCAATTAGCTCGGGAAGGGTGAGATTCGCACGCTAAACTGGAAAAAGCCTGGCTCGCCCTGGGAAGCGAAATTTTACAGGTGTCAAGCGGAGGGAGGACTCGACATCGCGGCCGACTCCTCAACAATTGGGACGGACGAGTACGCTAAATATACCGAAAAAGATGAAAACTGAAGGTCGAAAATATTTTATTATAAAATAAAGAGGGTGCAGGTTACAAGGAGCTTATTACAGAGTAAGCAAGTGCTCCTAAAAAGAACTACCCCTCTAGAGTATCCAGCCGACCCCAGTCCACAAAGATCACTCACTCGGCGAGGAGGAGTCGCTTCCAAAGAACCCTCCCGATGGTCCAGGAGGGGGTGGGCAAAGCGAGTCCCAGAACGCCGGCATGAGTGGTGGCATAACCAGCTCTTCGTCGTCAGGGTACATTTCCTGATAACGAGCAAAGTCTTCCTCGTTCATTAGCCCCGTAACCGGACCGTCCAAGTCATCCAGAGGAATAGAAAAGGTCATACGGAAGGTCAGCTGCTCTGGGACAGGCACGTCAACAACGGTCCCGCCTGGGGAAGTTACTCGAGCTGTCCCCGGAGGGGGAGAAGGGCGAGAAGTCGGAGCGACTTCACGACGAGCAGGAGTCGGCGGATGAAGAGCCATGGAGGCAGCGCCAACGGGTGATCTCTGTGGAGTCGGACGGGGAGCCTTCTGTTTAGACTCCCTCTCAGGCCGAGTCCGTTTTGAAGGCAAGGGGCGCCGGGGCGACCCAAAGTCAATCCGCTTCCCTTTCAGTGGTGAGCGACCCATGAGGAATTAGCCAAGGTCCCGCGAGATCCGGGAGATAGCGAAAAATCCGGGCCAATCCTGAGTCATTCAAGGCACGGATTCGGTGAGCAGGAGATGGTTACTACTTTTCCAAACCCAGGTTGGTGGACCGGGTATGGAAAAGTGAGGGACTAGTTGATGGGGTGAGAACCCCGGCCCAAGAAAAAAGGCCTAGAAAGAACGTATGGGCCGAGTCCAGGACTCGGCCCAGGTCCAAAGAGGGAGGCCCAGCTCAGAGCCCGGAAGGACGACCCAATGTCAAACGGGGACAAGGAGTCGGTCCAGGCCCGACCCAGGGGAAGACTCGGTCCGGAAAGCCGTTGAGGGAGCTTTCAGAGCAGTCAATGCCAGGAGCCGTTGAGGCATTAAAAGTCGGACTCAGTCCGCCAGTTACTAGCCAGAGAGAGCCGTTGGCAGAGTCCGTAACGTCGCCCAACGGCTCGGCACATTGAATGTAATCTTCAAGTCGGCCATCATGAGCCTTTAAGTCAGTAGAGGAGGAGCCACTATAAAGAGGGCTCCTCCACCCTTGTAAGAGGCAGATTGGAGAACCCGGAGAGGGAAATAGAAAGCACTATTGAGCATCATACTTCACTAAAAATCTAGACTTTTTGTGAAAGGTGTATCCTCCAGCTTAAGGTTGTGTTGGACCTCCTTGGGCCCGAAAACCCAAAAACCATCAATAACAATAAAGTACATTTTTAATATACTAAATGTATATTATTTTTGTACTGAATGTACATTATATAATATAATAATGTACACTCAGTATACAAATAATGTACATCCCCTGAATATAATGTTCATTATTTTTGTACTGAATGTATATTATTTTATAGTATATAAAATATGGTCCACACAATAATGATTGGCCATCGAATAACACACAATAATACAATTAAGCGACTGAACTAAAAAAAAGCTATAATTGAACCCCTAAACTAACGCATTTCAAGCAATTTGTCCAATTTGCAGGTTTTTTCCTTTCTAACAGGTCACCCAATTTAAAATAATTTTTAAAAATAATTTTAAAAATAATTTAAATAAACTTTAAAAAATAAATAAATAATAATTCGTCTCTGGCCGGAGATGAAGATACGTTCTTCGTCTCCGGCGGAGATGATGTGTTTTTTTTAATTTTAATTTATTTTAATTACTTTTTAAAAAAAATTATTTTAAAAAAATATTTTAAATTGGTGACCTGTTAAAAAGGGGAAAACCTTACAAATTGGACAAATTATTTGAAATGGATTAGTTTAGGGACTCAATTGTAGCTTTTTGGAGTTCAGTGACCTAATTGCATTATCGTGTGTGGTTCGATGACCTATTTGAATCTTATTCCATTTATTAATACACGTTTATAGTCCACTTCGAACCCATTGGCAAATTATACCATGGATCAAGGTCTACCTTGCATTGTAGACCCTGGTCCAAAAATAACATTCACATTCTGTACTTCTAGTTGATTGTTTTTGTACCTATAGTAATCATATTATGTGTCAGCAATTATCAAGTTATTTGTTTATATGTACATAAACGATTAACTGTAAGTACAAAATGTGTTAACTGAAGGTACAAAATGTTTGCATTAGGATTCACAATATAATATTTGTTTACATGTACAAAACTGTTAACTGTAGGTACTGAATTTTTGTATCATGATTCACAATATAATATTTGTTTAAATGTACAGAAACTATTAATTGCAGTTACAAAATTTTTGTATTAAGGTTCACAATGTAATATGAACTATGATCCATGGACCATGGTATAACAATGGGAACCTGGCCCATTGTTGTTTAATATAAAAGGAAAGTTAAAACCTAAAAAACCCTAAGTGGGTGTTTAGTATGTGGCAATTTATATCGTCCACCACGGCGCACATGACAATGTGCGCCAAGACACAAAACGCGCGTGTTTCATGTTGACGTCATGCTGATGTCACTCCGTCCATCCGAACATACCAAACCTCATTATGTGTATTCAGTTAAAATTTTATGTGTATTGTGTTATGAGTTTATGTGTATTCAGTTAAGAATTTATGTGTATTATGTTAACCAAACCCATTATGTGTATTCAGTTAAAAAGTTTATGTGTATTGTGTTATGAGTTTATGTGTATTATGTAGTATGTTAGATTATGTGTATTTTGCTATGAGTTTATGTGTATTCTGTTATGAGCTTATGTGCATTCGAAACATGAGATTTTTTTAACAACTTAACAAAACGACGTCGTTTTGGGAGGCACGGGACGCACAGTGCTATGTGCGCCCTGGTGCACGGTATAACGATTGTTAGTATGTAGCTAAGAACGTTTGAACTTTCTTGGAAATTTAAAAGGTGGGAAAATTGATTATATATATTTTACCCAATGATGTCAAGTCCCAAATTGATTATATATGTTTTATTTTACCCCATTGTCCTATATGGCTATGTGGACAATAAAGCTTGTGTTGGTAAAATGATAAACGATTATGTTTAAGAATATTTGACAGAGCATATATATTATCAAGATGCAACACACGTAAGCTCTAGAAGGGGTCACAAGAATGTTTACAAAATGTTTACTCTAATGACAATCTTGAACATTGTACCATATTCCTTTTCTACACTTATCTTGGAACAAATGTTTTTATGATATTAGAGCGTGTAGACTTTTAAGATTGTTATCGTCTTCAGGAGGAGTGACATCTAATTACTTGAATCAATCTTGATGATTGGACTTGAATAATCCTGAAGATTGGGTCCTGAAGAGTAATAGTTGTACTCTTTTTCCTTTGATTAAGTTTTGATGTAATTTTCTTAATTAAAAGTAGGGTGACCACGGTTCGATTCGAACCGAACCGTGCACTGTTGAATCGGAACTGAACCGTCCGTACGGTTTCGGTTCCGGTTAAGGTTCGAGATGACAAGGAATTGGAACCGGCGGTTCCGGTTCTAAACCGAAAAAAAATTAAAAAATTAAAGTTTTTTTTAACTTTTTTAAATAAATCCGGTTAGAACCGGCGGTTTCAACCGGAACCGGAACCTTACTATAAGGTTCCGGTGCCGGTTTGACCATTTGCGGAACCGGAACCGCGGTCATGTCTAATTAAAAGTTTTTTAACCAAGCAGCTAGGGATAATGCAACAGTACACATGCATGCATAGATATCATGTACTCTTTTTCTTACTAGATTTTTTTGAGTTAATTCATGTTTTAGTCTTTTTTTATTAGAACATTCTCATTTGGTCCTAGTATTATTGTGGCATGACCATTTTTAGTCCTTCGTCAACAAAATCGTTGAAATATGTTGTTAAATACAAAGACATTTTGATCTTTTTATACAAAGTAAGTTGACCCGCTATATTTTTTATGTTTACTTTTTTGAAGAAAAAAAATCATAATTGAAGACGGAGTACGTTACCATTGTATCTAACGATATTTAAACTGTTTTGTTGATAAATGATTATGCCACAATAATAGTATGAACAGAAGTGGATGTTCCAATAAAAATAATAGAATGTAAAACTAATACAAGATAGACCAAAATTATTACAACTAACACACTAGTGCATTATATATATTGCCGAATGTAACTCATCTCCCCACTTACAGTGCTTTAACTACACTAATTAATAAATCAATGATGAACGTATATACACACAGAGACATGCATGGATATGGAGTAACCCAAATTCATTGAGTAGGCCCCACTATGCACTAAATTCCATAATATCTATCTTTCTTAAACATAAACATATATATGCTCATCATATCTATATAATCTCCTTCCTTCCCTTCCATCAGAGTTGCAGCATTTCCAGAAATCAAAACCCTAAACTACAATAATTCTTAGTTCATTCGTCAATAATCATGGTGCCAGCAGGAGAAAATAACCTGCAACTTTCCTTTCCTGTTCAATCATGGCCTGATAACTTAGCCTGGGACTATGATTATCATTATGATTATGATTTCCCCATGCAAACTACTCACACCTCTTTTGATTATTATTATTCTTTTCCCCTCATGGACATGTTTCTCATCAACGATCCTCTATATTCCCAATCCATCATCCAAGGTTTGTTTTCAATTCTATATATACTACCATTAATTTAATTTATACTTACTTCATTGAGTTATATATTACTGAATAATTGAGAGAATTTTGCAGGAGGAAGTTCAGTAGTGTATGGTGATGATGAGGGAGTGGAAGAGCAGGAGAAGATGGTGTTATTGGGGGATGACGATGAATATCACAGTAACAATGGTGGAGGGAATAAGAAGAAGGGTAGAAATAATGATTGTTCAAAAATGTTGTGCAGAGAAACAATTTCCAAGTATTTCTATATGCCAATCACAAAGGCTGCCAGAGAACTCAACGTTGGGTTGACATTGCTGAAGAAGAGATGCCGGGAGTTGGGGATTCGCCGGTGGCCTCACCGGAAGTTGAAGAGTCTCCAAACCCTAATCGGAAATGTTCAGGTCAGATTTCAGATCAGCTCATTCAATTCATAATAATTAATTTAATTTCGAATTTAAATGCACTGTAATTATTATATATTGTGAAAGGTGCTGGGGAAGGGTGAAGAAGAGGAGAAGTTGAGAGAAGCCGTAGAGTTGTTGGAGAAGCAGAAGAAAGAGATTGAAGAGAGTCCAGATATGGAGATGGAGGACACCACTAAAAAGCTCAGGCAAGCTTGTTTCAAGGCTAACTATAAGAAGAGGAAGCTTACCGTCGCCGCCGCCGGAATGCCGTCGTCGCCGTCATCTGCGGCCGCCATTTCAGCTGGAGCTACTGCTACTCTTGATTATGATGAGGAAGATTAACAAATGGATTCTCTTTTATCTTATTATTTCTCCTCTTCTTCTTCTTCTACCGCCATTGATTACTAAAATATTATGCAGGCTAGCTACTTAGTCTACCTAAAATGGGCAAAACTTTGTGTCTTTAACCTATATAATATATGCTCAAACCTCCCCAACATATATAATATATGCATTTCGACTTTAAAATATTTATAGTGTATTTCTTTTAAAACAAAGGTAGATAATTAATATTTATAGACTTACATATATATAAGTTCAATGATTTGAGATGTTTTTACCCACAAAATATGAAATTCTCTCGTCTCAAAGCCCTCACACTCCGGGCCGATAGGATAGTGGAGGCGGCCTAAAAGTCACAACAGCACATTACCCCTATAAAATAGTGGCCCCATAAGGAATCCACTAATCCACTACATTGAAAGTATCACCGATAGTGTTACAATTTTTTATGAGGAGTTTTTGTGATGATCGGAGGGATGGGAAAAAGAAAAAACAAAAAAAAAAAATCTGAAAATAAAATAAAGATTTACGCATTCAGGACACGAGGTTTGTGTCTCGAGGCTAGTTATCCTTGTCTTCTTTTTTGGTGGGGTCCACATGACAAAAACTTGCGCTTCAAGCGAGGCACGTTATCCTTGTCTTCTTTCTTGATGGGGTCCACATAACTGACAAAAACCTTGGTCCTTCAACATGGACTCTTCCTCAAAAATCACACTAAGAACCACTGATGAAGATGCCTTAAGTGTAATTCTCACACTGGTTATTAACTAAACTTCTCGTCGGGCGAGCTGAGGTATTCTATACACCGATTTCCGTGCTTTATTTAGACCATTCCAAAAGTGAAGTTCGAACAAAAGAAACAGAATGAGATATCATTTCAATGTAAGAAAAAATAAAAGAATACAACATGTAAGAGTTTGATTCCCGCACAGCCGCATAGGTGATAGGTATGTCATCTCTTGGTATCAAAATCAAACAACAAAGAATAATCACTAACTACATTACTTCAATTCAATGACACTACAAAACTGGGAATTCTGATGCAATTCTCAGAATTACTTTATTCCTCAACTATCATGATTCATGATCCTTGTGTACTAACTAATGCAATTCTAAGCGGTTGCTGCTTCTTTCTGAACAAAACTAATCCCTTTCTCAATACTGGCTTTCAGATCCGGCTTTAGGGCTTCCAAAGCTTTTTGTTCATACTCAGTTAACCCCTGGAGGTCGGATGAGATAAAAGCCTCGACACCATTCCTCCCTAATTTGACCCTAGATGCAAAGAACGGAAGGTCTGTAAGATCGGACTGCACATAAGCACACTCGTACACATCACTATCGCCATCAAGAGCACGGAGTGAGGACTCGATAAATCTTGCAGCAGCATATGCCATAGAAAGTGTAGCTGAGCCTGCACCGGCCTTTGCCTCTACAACTTCCGTCCCACCATTCTGGATCCTGGCAGTCAGCTCTTGCACTTCTTCATCGGTGAAAATGGTTGATGGTTTTGCCTTTGACAGTAATGGTAGAATAGTTATTCCAGAATGGCCTCCGATGACAGGGACATCAACGTCAATGAGCCTCAGGTTTTTCTTCTGAGCGACAAATGTGTTTGCTCTGACAACATCCAGGGTTGTAATACCAAACAGTTTCTTGGGATCATACACTCCCTTTTTCTTCAGAACTTCTGCTGCTATTGGGACTGTGGAGTTCACGGGATTGCTGATAATGTGGATGAAGGCATCGGGGCAATTATCAGCAACAGCTTCAACCAAGGTTCTCACAATGCTTGCATTGATGTTGAACAGGTCATCACGGGTCATACCTGGCTTCCTTGGAACGCCAGCAGGTATGACAACCACATTTACATCTTTCAAAGAATTGGCCAATTCAGAAGCTCCGGTGAAATCAAAAACCTGAGAGGGAGTGTTGCAGTGGCTGAGATCAGCTGCAACTCCTTTGACATTTGCTATATCGTAAAGGTTTAGGGCAGAAACTAACGGAGACATCTTGGCCAAGAGAGCTAGTGGCTGGCCTATGCCACCTGCAGCGCCAAGTATGGATACTTTGTATGATGCCTGAGGTTGAACGTAGTTCCAAGATCTCTTGTTTTCTTTTTGGGCCTTGAGAACAAATGATTGTCGAAGAGCTGCACTACTTTCCTTTCCCAAAAAGGATGTTTCTAAATCACATCTTACAGATTCTGCAGCTTTAAGGCCATAACTCCTAGGGCAGCTCCTTGAGTTGAACTTCAATCCAAAGGCTTTTTGGCGTGAAGGCTTACACCCAGCAGATGTAGTTGGACAAATTGAGAGAGTAGTTGCTGATGTTGCCGCCATTTTTCACACTGCAAGGGAGAAAAGGTGATTTTAACTTCTTTCAGTCAAAGTACCAAACCGTGATACAGAAAACATAATCAAGCACCTTATGAAACACAACATATCATAAAACATTAGATATATTAGAGTACATCAGAAACAGGAAGATTAGTTACTCAGACAATGCAAGAAACAAGTTTATGGAAGAGAAGTCTATTTAGCAATTAGCATAGAACCCATGTACCAGCAGGTATGCAGAGAATATTGGGAACAGTATTGGGACATTAAAAAAGATACAGTTAATGGATAAATCAAGTGATATCAAATGCAAGGCTTCTTCAAACAGTCAGGCCATCAAATACTACAAATATGCCCCAATTATTCCCCTAATCTGGTCAAGCATCTTAAGAGTATTGTACTATTGCAACCCAATGAACAATATTATCCCATTCAATTAACAGGAATTTGTAGGCAACAAAAACTAAAAGTAAACCTATCTTGAAATAAACTCAGTCAAACAAAAATGTCAATCAATTCACTTTTAACATATATTGCTAAGTGCTACGAAAAGACAAGCAGAAGTATTTCCATCACACACGTACACTCAAACCACCCAAGTATAAAAATAAATAAATGAATAATAAAATGAAAACTTGGGAAGCTGTTCACTTGCCTTAAGGCCATCACCAATGAATACGGTAAAACACCAATTTTGTGTCAAATTTGGTGCAAAACTTCCTCAAAGGAACACGCCAAATTTGACACCAATTTGGTGCAAGTGAACAGTGTAGCACCAAATATGGTGGTGCAATATTAACTTTGCACCAAATTGGTGTACTTTTTTTTCTCTTTTGTCCTTCATTTTCTTTTTTAATTCCTTTATATCCCTGTTTTGTTTTTATATATTTACATAATTTGTTAAATACTGAAATTTAAAATTTGTATTATTAGAAACAAATTATAGCATTTCAAAAATCTCATTAAGACGTTTAAAACAAGACTAATATTGAATATATATTAATTAAAAATTAAAATACATATAACATAATTTCACCAAAATAAAATTTAGTACATTCAAAATTAAAGTAAAAAAAATAAAGTTTAAAATTATGAGAATATAAATTATTTTAATGTATTGAATAAATTTTAGTATAAAGGGTTGGAGATAGAATAAAAGTTGGTGTAAGAATATACTGAGAATATTCATTTTGGTGTAAAATCTGGTGTTTTGGATTCTTAAGGGTGACAATAACATCACAGACTTTTTTTCTGCTCACCATCTAAAATCCTTAGCTGATGCAGAAAAGTAAACCTTAAACCAGATGCCTATAGATGATGCAAAAAAGTAAAACCTTAAACTAGAGTCCTATCAGCAAGTATCTGCTACAATCATTTAACACATACTGATTAAGGCAACCACACAGCTTGACCAAATTAATTCCTATAAGAAAACAGGCACTAGATTTTGTACTGACCACATATGTCTGCAAAAAAAAAAATGCCCCCATACTAGATAACAAACAAAATAGAACTCTCAGATTCAATTGCCTAGATATCAAAAACACACATTGCATCTACAAAAACTTAGGTTTTAGGGTCACCTACAAACTCAAATCAAAATCATTAGATGATGAAGTATGAAGTAGTGCCCTACTAGATAACAAATCGATAGAACTTCCATTAAATTGCCTAGATATCAGAAACACAATTGCTGGTAGTCTCATACAATAACTAAGGTGGCATGTCACCTACAAATCCAAAGAAATATCATTATGCCCGCACAGGCTTAGCTGTCCTATAGGCCGTATTTAGGAGAAGTGACCAATGTTCGAAACTCAACAGCGGCAATGTAAGGATTATGCCCAAAGTCACTAAATTACCGTGATTTACATCCTCTCCTGAACGAGCCGGGGTGTTGGGGGTTCAACATTTCAACCTTTTGGGAGAAGCAAAGAAATATCATTATGGGGAATGCAAATCAACCAAGCGACCAACCGTGTGGTGCCAATTAAGAAAAAGTGATTCGATAGAGTTAATAGATGTACGAGCAAACAAGGATCATTTATATAAATGAAATCTGGTAATTGCTCAAACATTACTGCATAGAAAGCAAGCTTAATTTACACGACAGCTACTGCATTACATTCATAGAATTTGCGACTCAAAATGAAGCAGAAACTAAGCAAATAATTCTGAATGAAATGAAGCGGACAAATTTATTTCAGATCTGAAAAATTCATGAACAAAAAAGCAAAAGCGATGAATATTTTACCTGGTGAAAAAATGAATGGTAGGATAGGGAAAACCCAAAGGAAAGGAAATTGAATGTGGTTTCAGGTTATTCTGGGAGGATTATAAAAAGGTGGCGTTGGCACAGAGACACGAAGCTTTACCTTCTCCGTTGAAACACCTCCTACCAAATCTACTGATCAACCGCGGTTTGGGGTTATCCACGGATACCAGATCTTGACCGTTGGTGAAATTAAGTTTGCCAATAAGTGACAAATTTTAAATAAATATTCAAAGAGAAAAATACATTTTTTGTCGATTGAGGTTTTGTTAATTTCAATCCACGACTTTAAAAACTAACAATTTAGTACCATAATTATACAATTTTTAACAGATTTGGTCCACCGGTCAAATTATTGGCCAATTGTCGCCGAAAAGTTGTAATCCATTTTAATTTGTTTAATAAGGGGGGCAAATTGATCATTCCAGATTTTTAAAATAATAATAATTACTTCGATGGTGCCATTCGGCGTCGCTCATGAACCTCACTCGCCTCCAGCGACTAAGTCTGTCGCATAATTTCTTGTCGAGTTGGATTCCCCCTTAAATCTGTTAAAATATTTCTGAAGAGTGTGAATTAAGGTAAGCGTTGTTTCATTTTAATTTGTTTGCGGAGAGCTTGTTGTTTTATGTTTTCGAGCTTTAAGACAACGAGTTAACCAGCGAGCTACTTGAGCTCGGCGAGTTAAATTTCCTTAATTTCATCGACATCAGCAACAACGAGTTTTCCGCCGGTTCCCAGCGTATCTAATCGAGCTCACCTCGAGGAACAATACAATAAAAGAGAATATTCCGGTGAGCGTTTCCGACTTATTTTACCTACAAGTCCTCGATATCCGTCGAGGAACCTGACCCGAATTCGTTCCACTCCAGCCAGTTCATTGCAGCGGACCTGACCAACAACGACCTCTATGGCTTCTTGCCGGGATTCCTTGGCCTTCTCCCCCAACTATCCTATCTCTCACTGGAAAACAACAAGCTCTCAGGCATAATTCTGGCGCAATATGCCCTGAAAGTTCTGGTCCCCGAAGATGGCACAACGACATCATCACAGTTTGAACGGCTTTTGTTGGGTGGTAACTACCTGAACTTTTATTTATTTATTTATTTATTTACCTGAAATGACCGATTTGTCCCCTTTATTAAACAAATTAAAATGAATTACAACTTTCTGGCGAAAATTGGTCGACAATTTACTCGAGTGGACTAAATCTGTTAAAAATTGCATAGTTAGAGTACTAAATTGCTAGTTTTTAAAGTCGTGAATTGAAATTAACAAGACCCCAATAGTCATAGGACAAAAAATATAATTTTCGTAATACTCAAATTAAAAATTACAATAGCCTTTTTTTTTCTTTTTAAATAGAAAATAACTTCGCAGTACATAGTTTTCAATTTCAACTAATTTGATCTTCAAATTATTTAAAATGTTGTTAATTAATTTTTCGAAAATTAAATTGACAGATTTTTAAAATAGAAAAATAATTATTTTGGTCTCTCAAAAGAGTTTAATGACTAAATTTTAAATAATTCAATAATCAAATGAGTTGAAATTGAAAATTAAGAATTATATTTACAATTAGAAAAATTAGGAATTAGGAACTATATTAACAGGAAAATGGTGATTTTCCCTAGTTTATGAGTCATTTTTTTCAAAATGAAAAAAAAAAAAAAAACAAAAAAAAAAAAAAAAACAAAAAACAAAAAACTGATTCTACATTTCTACAGCAGAGCCTGTTCTTTTCGAAGTTCGAATCCTGCAACCGCATTTTTGGCTCTTTTCTTTTCTCTCTTTTCGCTCGTCGCTAAGACGCTAACCGCTCCTCGCTCCAGTCTCCATCTCTACAGCTACAGCGTATATCTCCGGCTTCCTTCTCCAACGTCGCAGCCTCCGCCTCCGGCCAAGTCCCCGACTCTCATTTCCGGCCACCGTCCCCAGTTTCCTCTCGTCCGAATAACAACTTCAACACCACGAACTACGAACTTTCCAAAATCTTCACTAGGATCTTGTCCAACTCCAAATCGTTAGGTACATAATCATCTAAATCTCTTTTTGCAGTGATTAAACCCTATTTGAGTTTCTAGGGACTAGGGTTCCAATGGTTTTCTTATTTTCTTCTTCTTCTTAATTTTCTTTTGCAGTGATTAAATCCGGAATCCGTCTCATCTTAGTATCTTACCCTTCTCTCTAGTCGAATTAGGCCATTAAGAGCTGCAGGAAAAGTGATGAAGCTCCGGTACGCAATGGTGTGCTCATCCAATCAGAACCGGAGCATGGAGGCCCATTCGTTGCTTAAGAGAGAGGGTTTCGATGTCTGCTCTTACGGGACTGGACAGCACGTGAAGCTCCCCGGACCTTCCCTCAGAGAACCCAACGTCTATGACTTCGGCACCCCCTACAAGCACATGTTCGATGAACTCCGTCGCAAGGACCCCGAACTGTATGCCAATTTCCTTTACTATTATTATTATTATTATATTAGTATTATCATTATCATTATTTAATGAAATGTATGATTAATTGCTGATTTCTGTTGAAAGTCAAAAGTTACATTTTGCTGGAAGTTTATGCTTTTCAATGTAACACCTGACTTTTAGCAATAAATATAAATAATACTAATAATAATAATAACAAAAACAATTGAGTTCTATGTTTATTGAAAGTAGAAAAACTTCCAATTGTGCCTTGTATGCCAGCTTTTGAGTTGCCCTGGCTGAAATTCATCCTCCTTGGGGCTTTATTTGTTGATAAAAAGCTTAATCCTTACAAGGTAAAGCACAATCTTACATAAACGATAAGCTAGATTTTGTCATGGTATCTTAAAATTTCACATGTTTTGGAATAATTATCAGCCCTTTTAATTCCATTGTGATGAACACAAGTTGCTAAACAACACCACATATTAGTCTAGTAAGATCATGCTTCACTAGAATAGGGGTTGTACAGGTACAAGAGAAACGGGATATTGCCAATGCTGAAGAGGAACTTGGGTGTAAAGCATGCACCTCAACGCTGGCAAGATAATGCAGAGGATGGGCCTTTCGACGTAGTGCTTTCTTTCGAAGAAAAAGTTTTCGATATGGTGATTGAAGGTCTGTATGTGCTTCATCATCCTTTCTTTGAGAATGTACATATCTGACATGAAATTTCAATAGCGGGTAGCATATTTTTCTTTGCTGATCTCAATCAATAAATTTACAACAATTGTTCAAGACAATAACGACTATTCTCCATGACTTTTTTTTTCCTTGGGTTAAAAGAAAAGAAAAAGAAAACAGTTATCAATGCAGTTTGTTGATTGTATATTGGAGTAGTTATTTAGTGAATAAATACTTTAACTTTACATAATAATGTCTTATAGTTCATTTTGAGTTGGTTCTTCCTTTTGAATAATTGAAATATTTGCACACAACTTGAGATGATCTCTGCTCATAAGATGAACTATCCATTAACTATAGGAAATTATTATCATATTCCTATTCATTATTCACAACTTGATACTTGACACTTTATTGTATTGCCTCTTACCTTTAAGGTATTGAGCATAGATGCTTGACTTTATATATCTAAAAGGGGGGAAAAACACTCATATTGCTTAAATCTTGGCCTATTTGCCCCTATAGCATCAGTCAAAGTCAATGAGAGTAATCCTTGCGGTGCGTCTTCAAGAATATGCAAGCCAAGAGGCAAATTGACTTTGATTTGTGCTTATAATAGCTGTGTGTAAAATGGTTTTAACTACTGGTAATGTTTTTGTTTTTGTTTTGTTCTTTAAGAATAGAAACATGCTTGATTTCCTATTTTGTCTTTAATGTAATTGGTGAGTTTATGAAGATGAGGTTAGATGAAAAAGGTTTCTAGGATGGGTGGGGGTGATTAATTTTGGGTAATGATTAAGGAAAATATATAAGAAGGGTAGGGTTAAGGATATGCGTTGGGATGCATATAGAGTTAAATGAGGGGAGGGAATACACCAGGGAAGATTTTAGTGGGATTAGCAGAAGATGCACCTGGGCCTCTAGGGTTAATTAAGAGAAGTGGGTGGTAGGATGGGGTTAGGCATAGTGGTTGATGGGGTGGAGTCAATTTAAAGTGTATGTGGTGTTAGTCGAGAGAGCTAGGGGTAGGGGTGGGGTCAAATAGTTGTTGGTTGGTTGAGAGGAGATAAATAATTGAAAACAAAAACAAAAGCAAACAACATTATTTTGTTTTCAGAAATAAGGCAATAAGCTAATGTCTTGAAAATGCTTTTTGAGAAAAGGAAAAAAGAAAGTGAGGAACATTACCAAAATTTCTTTATTTTTTAAAAAAATTGTTCCAAAAAACATCTGAAAAAACAAGAGAAAGTAAGAAAGAAAAAAAAATGTTGCCAAATTGCTCTCCTAGTCTTAACTAGTAAATATGTTGTATGTCATAAGAACACCTGAAACTGTGGAACTTTGGTGAAAGGAAAGGTCTCTATTTCTTTCATGTTTTAATCTTCAGTAATTATATTGATCCTATTGAGAGCCCTTGCAATTCTCCTATCATCAATTTTCGTTTTTGTTGGCATAACATTTGACTATCATGTAACTATGTGCAGATCTCCATAACCGTGATCAGATTCTGATGAAGTCTGTTCTAGTAATCAACTTGGAAGTAAAAGACAACCACGAGGAGGCAGCAATAGGAGGTCGTCTTGCTTTAGCATTGTGCCAGGAGGTACATCACTCATGCATTTTGTTTTGTTCACAATACTCTAGGGTGCCAGCGTGGTATTGGGTATTTTAGAAGAGAAACTTAATTACTATTATCTACATGATTTTGCAGATTGATGGTGTTGAAAATTGGGAGGACACAATTGATGATATCATCAACAATTTTGAGAGAAAGAATCGTAGGAAGCTCCTGTATAGCATCTCATTCTATTGAGTCTACGAGGTAAAGAATCTGAAACACATAGGTGTAGGTATTTTTAGGCCACTGTTGATTGATGTTTGTAATGTTTCCCCATTGAGTATTTGATGTACTCTGGATGGGGGGCTTACAAGAGAATGACAATTTATTTTAGTTTGAAGTGATTCATGACAATGTGAACTTGTTGAAGAAAGCAAATAGTGCCTTGGTTCAAACACCCTTTTCCAAGAGAACATCTTGAAAGTATTTCCAGTAACCGCAAGTGCTTATCGGAATAGGATGATCTTTGATCTGCAGTTAGTTCCAAGGGAGGAAGAAGATAATCACATGAAAAATTACATCACATGCTTTTAAGTCTTATAGTAATCACATTTATTCATTTACAACATTATTATTGTTGTTGTTGTTGTTCATTTAACAGTTTTGCGGTGTCAGGCAAATTATATTGTGCACCAGGGTACACATACGTCCTGGCCAAAACGACGTCGTTTTGGTCAATTTTTTTTTTTAGAAATTCCGTTTCCCGTTTCTATTGCTAACTTCAAAAAAAAAAAGAAAAAAAAAGCTTCTGTTTCGAATGTATATAAATTCATAACAGAATACACTAACATAATACATAATACACATAATCTTATAGCATAATACATGTAAACTCTTAACATAATACACATAAACTCTTAACATAATACATATAAAATTTTAACAGAATACACATAAATTCTTAATATAATATATATAAAATCTGAACATAACGACGTTGTTTTGGACATGATCCACAATGCATTGTGCGCCCTTGGTGCATGATATAATGATTGGCAGTGTTACATACATAATTGAAATTAAGGAAAAGGAGCAAATGTTCTGTTCTTAAGGTTAGGCCTGTGCATCGGACGAGTTCGGACAGTCAACCCCTAATCCGATCGGATTTTGATTTTACAATTCTGCATCCAAACCGTTCATTTTAGACATTATAACCGTCGGATTTTTTAATGTTCGGATTCGGTTAGATATGTTCGGATTTCGGTTTGACAAAAAATATTTAAAAATTAAAAAATATACTACAAAAGCATGAAAATATACATCTTGCAAAATGCAAATTACAAATAACTTAAGCTAATATAATTTATATAAACCATATAAGCTAAATAGCTAATTAGCTAATTAAGTCACCAAAAATAAAAAAATACAAACAGAAATTACATAATACAGTTCACAGCATTCAAAATTACATATTTTGCCCAACAGCATTCACTTCATCCATTTGTTTGTGTAACATATTTCCCAAAATAGAAAAAGGTAAGTTGTGCAAAGCATTGTTGGAATTCATGTACATTTACATCTCACATGTCAACTTTAATGAATTGAATTGAATGCACAAGACCACGCACGAGCTTAACTTATCCACATCCACATCATGCCTCAAATCGATCTGCTATAAAAAGTTATACAAAGTCGAACCGGAAAATATATATATATATATATATATTTTTGGTTAAGATACTGACAAAATTACTATGAAACGCAAATTATATAGTGGATCATAGTTCAAAATGACTTCATTTAGCCTTAATTTTTTTACTCCATATTTTTTTTCTTTTTCATTGGTAACCGCATTAATCATCTATAGGTAATTCAAATAGCGATTCTTAACTTTAGCCAATTCAAATTGATTCTCTTCTCTCTGCATCACTGCATTATATTTCACAAGTTATAATTGTGACTGCATAGAATATCTTCTCTAGTTGCGTAGATTATTGTCCTCAAATCATCTTTGCCTGCATCAATTCGTTCTTCTATTGCATTATGGATGGTGGAAGTGACGAGTTAGAATTGAGTGTTAATGAAACTTCTTCGATTCTAGGTTTTTACTATTTGCAAATTATAATTGTGATTGCATCCACCTTTACAATGTCGTTGACTAGCCACCCCATCAGCATGCATTTCCCACCAGCCCCCTTTTTTAGGAGCACTCGATGGCTTTCCTTCCTCTTGAGCGATGCACTCAACGATGAAGTTGGCTAAAGTTTGTCCTTTTATCGACAGTCGGGGCTAATATTCAATTCCGAACTGAGTGAGTTCCATGGTCCACTTAACTAGTCGGCCTGATGATGCTGGGTTACGGAACATGCTCGCCAAACTTGGTCTGTCAAGACCCTGACCGGATGGGCCTGAAAGTAAGGAACTAACTTCCTTGCTGTGATCACCAAAGCATATACCACCTTTTCCAAGGGAGTATAGTGAATTTCATAGCTTTTAAGGCCCGGCTAACATAATAGAATGGGTACTAGACTCGATCTTCCTCTCGGATTAAGACCAAACTAATTGCCCTCTGCAAGGTAGCCATGTACAAGTAGAGTGCCCCCTTCCTTTGGTTTAGACAGTAGAGGTAGAATGAACAAGTACTTTTTCAATTCCTCGAAAGCCTACTAACATTCATTTGACCATCTGAACCCTTCTTGCTTCTTCATTGCCTCGAAGAAGGGAAGAACCCTATCTGTTGATTTGGACAAGAATTGATTGAGAGCAGCCAGTCGTCCTATCAAGCGCTGCAAATCCTTTAATGATCCAGGCAGTTGCATATCGAGGATGACTTTCACCTTTTCAAGATTCGGCTAAACCCCATCATGATGACCATGTAGCGCAAGAATTTTTTACCTCTGACTGCAAACACACACTTTTTTGGGTTTAACCTCAGGTCGTACTTCTGCATTACTCGAAAGTTGGCGGCTAGATCTGCTGCGTGGTCGACTTCCTCCTTACTTTTACCAACATATCGTCAACATACGCAGTCATTGACTGTCTTAACCGGTCCCAAATAATTACAGATTATAATTGTTAATAGAGGACAAAAAATGGACATGTTACAATAATAGTAGGACCAAAGAAAAAGATTAAAAATGAATACCTATAAATCTAAAATAAAAAAATAGAGTTAACTCGATGTAAAATATTATATTCTTAATCTTTACAAAGAAAAACAATAAGATATAATTTCAGGAAGGAAGTATATGATTAACAAACTCACCTCAGATAGATTAGACAAAAGATAAGTTACAGAGTATATCTTAGAAATAATCTCTAACTAATCTAACTAATAAAGAGCTAAGTCAAAGTCTAAGTACCACCACTAGTCTAAGACTATATATTATACAAATAATAAATATGAAATAATAGCCTTGCTAACACACCCCCTCAAGCACAAGGATGTAGCGAGACAACATTGAGCTTGCCTCGTAAGGTTGCGAACCGTGACGCTGAAAGTGGTTTAGTGAAGATATCTGCTAGCTGATCTGTGGTCGACACGTAATTGACAACGAAATCTCCTGAAGCGACTTTGTCCCGGACGAAGTGATAGTCAATCTCTACATGTTTTGTGCGGGCGTGAAATACCGGATTGGCACAAAGATATGTAGCCCCTAGGTTGTCGCACCAAAGTGTCGCAGGGTGGCCAGAATGCATGCCAAGTTCCCGTAGTAGTGACACGACCCAGGTAACCTCTGCGGAGACATCCGCCAGCGCTTTGTACTCGGCTTCAGTGGATGACCTAGCAACAGTCCGTTGTTTCTTCGAAAGCCAGGAGATTAGGTTGGACCCGAGATAAACTGCAAAGCCGCTGGTGCTCTTTCTGTCTATCGGACAGCCAGCCCAGTCGGAGTCGGAAAAGGCATGCAGACAGGTCGAGGAAGACGGAGCAAGGCATAGGCCGAAGTCGAGGGTCCCCTTAATGTAGCGGAGGACTCGTTTCACGAGGGCCCAATGTTCTACTGTCGGTGAGTGCATGAACTGGCACAGCCGATTAACTGCATACGCCAAATCGGGCCTAGTAATCGTCAAGTATTGCAAGGCTCCAACGATGCGACGATACTGGGTCGGATTATCAAACACTTCCTGCGCTGGAGAGACGAGTTTAGTGACGGCAGCCGGTGTAGTCAGAGGTTTGCAGTCAGTCATCCCTGAGCGCCCTAGGAGATCCGTCATATACCGACGCTGAGAGAGAATAAACCCGTCACCGGACTTGATTGTCTCAATGCCCAAAAAGAAGCCGGGAGATCCCAGGTCCCGAATTTTGAACGTAGTGGATAGATGTCGGAGTAGAGTGGCAACCAAGTCGGCATCATTTCCCATCATTATTATATCGTCAACGTATACAAGTAAAAACACACGGGAGTCCCCACTTGTATAGTAAAACAGGGACACATCTGTTTTAGAAGATTTGAACCCTGCAGACAGAAGAAAATCATGAAGACGCTTGAACCAAGCCCGGGGTGCTTGTTTCAAGCCGTAAAGAGAGCGCTGTAGATGGCACACATGTCCAGGTGTGGTAGGGTCCTCGTAGCCTGGGGGTTGTTTCATGTACACGGTTTCAGCAAGATGCCCATTCAGGAAGGCATTATGCACATCTAGCTGCCGCAACGTCCACCTGTTGGAAACAGCCAGAGAAAACAACATTCGAACTGTAGTCGGTTTGACTACTGGACTGAATGTGTCGAAAAAGTCTTCTCCTGCTACCTGATTAAACCCTTTTGCTACTAGCCGGGCTTTGTACCGTTCAACCGAACCATCAGCAGTGCGTTTGGTGCGAAAGACCCATTTGCACCCTATGATGTTCATGTGCGGCTTCGGTGGTACAAGCTGCCAGGTGTTGTTATGTAGCAAGGCGTTGAACTCTTGGTCCATAGCCTCCCGCCAATGTGCATGACCCACAGCTTGTGAGTAGCACGTGGGATCGGCTACTGCAGTTAAAGCCTGGAATGGCTCATCTGTGCCCTTTGTCATGTGCCGTAGCCGCATGACATGATCACGACTCTGTGGCACAGCACGTCGTTTCCTCGGTCTTGCCGGAGCAGTGTGTGTTATAGCGAGCCGTGGAGACTCACGAGCCAAGGGCATTGGCTCTGGCTCGGAGCGAGCCGGAGGATCAGTTGGTGTAGTGTCTGAGACAATTGGTGCAGAAACCCACGGTAAGGCCGGTGTGGTAGGCACTTGTGCTGCATAATCTGTCTCAAAAGGAAAGGTAGATTCGTCAAAGCGGACATGGCGACAGATATAAGTCTTTCCACTTATTAGATCAGTGCACCTATATCCCCTAAAGGACGGTGGGTAACCTAAGAAGACACACGGGGTGGAGCGATACTCAATCTTGTGCCTGTTATATGGCCTTAGATGTGGGTAACACCGACACCCGAAGACACGTAGAAAGGTGTAAGGGGGTGATGTATTGAAAAGTC